GCTTGGGAGGGTGGAGGGACAGCGCAGGAGGGGAAGGCCCTCTATGAGGTGGATTGATTCAGTGACTGAGATAATCGGGATGGGAGTGTCAGAGATAATGCAATTGGCACAGGACAGCAGAGTTTAGGGCTGTTGTACATAGGGGTCGCTATGAGTCGCAAGCGACTCGATGGCACCTAACAACAACAACAACAATTGGGATTATTCTGATGGACAAATTCAAATGATGTCAATAATTCTGAGCATCCTTTCCCTATCAAGTGATAAGCATTATCCCCTCTAAGATGCCATGAAGTTTTTGAAGAGTCACTGAGAAAGGTAAACTCAAAGTGTTGATTAAAAAGTTTACTGACTCCTCCATGAGTTTCTGCCATTCCTTGAGGCATTTCTTTGTTCTCTGAATTGAGTGAGTGATCCCTCCCCTGCAATATACAGCCTCTGAAACCCTGGAGGGTCATCTATGAGTCAGTTCTGATAAATGGCAATGAGTTGAGTTTGCTGAGTTATATAGATGCAAACAGGCTGCTCCTTAGAAGCTAGAATGGGACAACTTCCTTTCACACACTCTGGGCATATTGCCAAGGGGTGCTGATTCTTGGAAAAAGACAAAATGTTAGAAAGGTGGAGGGTCAGAGAAAGAGGAAAACCTTCAAGGTGATGGACAGACAGTGGTGATGGCGCAGGGTAGGGCAGGGTTCTGATTTGTTGCTATGAGTTGTAGTTGACTTGACAGCACCTAATAACAAGGTGAGATGGTGGCCAGTCGCCACCCTCGAAGGGGATTCCTGTCTAACCATGAACTCCAACTGTTCAGGGTTACTAAACCATTATGGGGCTTTCTCTCTTATTAATGTTGCTTCATTCACATGAAACCTCTTTCAATTCCAGTTCCTAAATGAAATTAAAATTACATTTTCTTACCATGGGTCTTCACACTGTTCCGTCTCTTTCCAGAAATTGTCCTTCTTCCTCATTCCCCTCCTTAACATCTCCTCTCCACTCCACCCCTAAATCATCTCTCAAGTCTTATCTTAAGTATTATCTACTTGGGCAAATTCTCCGACCTTATACATTAATGCAAGGCCTTCTAGTTTATGTTCTCTAATGTATATTTTCGTTCATACTACTTATCTGAAGGGATTGAAAAGAATTATTTATTTTAGATTTGAGGCTTGTGAAGCCATGAAGGTTGTCTGTCTCAGTCATCCCTGGGCCTAGCACAATGCCTGGCACATATCAATCACTCAGTACATATCTGTTTATTGACTTATTGAACTTCAAGAATAGCAAATAAAAATTAGACATTTTTTTTCTTCACAGAGGCAATTCTTATAACCCAGATAGTCTGCTTTTAAAACTGACATAAAAAGTTAAAAACATTTTACTTGGGAAAAAAAGTCAAACTTAAAAAAAGTTTCAAGAATAGAAATAGTACACAGAACACTCAAATACCTTATACTTAGATTTGCCCATATTAACCAATGCATTTATGTTAAGATGTGTGCATTAAAAATTGTTACTGTTGGTGATGTTAATCTGTTTTTCAAAAAGTATACATGACAAATACAAATAAAATAATAAAAAAATAATATCGGGGGGCTGGGCAGGAGAGAAGTGCAGCAATGAATGAATGGAAATCCAAAATCTCTGTAAATGTTCATTAAAATTATTAAAATAAAAAAGAGTAAAAAAAATAATAATGTCAGCAAATATAGACAGTAAGGGGAAATCTGAATATACATGAGTTATGAAACATGAGCATGTGTGTATTTTAAAGAACTGAATACACTGAACTAATGCAAGATATATACTGAATACAATGCTTTACCTAAGGCTACATCTCATAGAGAATTCATTGGTTCAGTGCTATTCTAAACTTTTGTTCCCCACCAGATTTTACCTTCAGAGGCAGAAGACACAGACTATCAAAAGTGACATTTATTTATACATGTACCATTTCTGTATAAAGCAAAGTGTCACTGCGCTGCACATACCAGCACTCTGCACGTTGGTCCTGTCTTTCAGGAGCACATCTCCAAGGATTTGGCGATAAAAGACCAATAAATGAATATAGCACATGCTTCCAACCAATGTCTCTGGCAGTAGACTATTAGAAAATAAAAAAAAATTTAAAATCCACACAATTTAATCTATGAAATTATGCTTAATTATTGAAAAGTATTTTTAACAATTTTATGGAATATTTTCATTACAAGTTATTATGCTTATAAGAAGTCTATTCCTAGACCAAGAAGTGTTGTCTAAATAGAGCAAGGGAGCATGGTTTAAAACTGGGAAAGGTGTGCATCACAGTTGTATCCTTCCCCTCTCTCTCTCTCTCTCTCTCTCTCTCTCTCTCTCTCTCTATATATATATATATATATATATATATATATATATATATATATATATATACACACACAATCTGAAAGCTGAACAAATCATTAGAGAAGCTGAACTTTATGAAAGACAAGTGTGGCATCAGGACTGGAGTAAGGCTCATCGAAAACATGCATTATGCAAATGATACAACCTTGCTTACTGAAAGGAGGAGGACCTGAAATGCTTGCTGCAGAAGATAAGAGACTTTGTCCTTCAATATGAACTGCATCTCAATATCAAGAAAACAAACATTCTCAGCACTGGGCCAACAGTTAACATCATGACAGATAGAGACAAGATTAAAATTTGTTAATGATTTAATCTTATTTGGCTCCACAGTCAATACTCTGATACCAGCAGTCTTGGGAGACATTTAGCACTGGGAAAGTCTGCTGTCAGGGATTTCTTCAAAGTCCTGAAGAGCAATGATATTAAAGACTAAGGTGTACCTGATTCAAGTCACAGTCTTTCCAACCACTTGCTATGCACTGAGAGCGGGACAATTAATAATAACAATGGGAGAAACCTCAATGCATTTGTGTTTTGGAGAAGAATTTGAAGAAGAATGCTGAATATTCCATGGAATGCCAAAAGAAATGTCTTGGAGAAAGTGCAACCAGAATGTCCCCTGAAGGCAAAGTTGGTGAAGCTTCATCTCACATATTTTGGGCACGTTGTTAGGAGAGGCTATGCCTTGGAGAGGGACATTGTGCTTGGAAAGGTGAAGGGTCAGCGAGGGCAAGGAAGACCCTCGAGAGATGAACTGATACAGTGTGTGAGCATGTGTGGACGGCGCAGGATAGGGTAGAGTTCAGATATCTTGTTCATAGGGTCTCTAGGAGTTACACTCCATTTGGTGCACTCGACTCTCACATAACAATGGCAATGTTAAACTCTAGAGAATTTAAGATTTTCTGCACATAGCTGTTAGTCTCCACTCTATTTCCATCCTTGTACTTGTATTTCTGTATGCAACCCGAGTTAAACAGCAAATAAAAGAGTAATTGCTCATAAGTGTTATGTGCTTTGGAAAGAATGAAACTGTGAGTTTAACAGGCATGCCACCCCCACCAGATGTGGGGAGTGCAGGGAGGGGGAAAGACTGAGGGGGCAGGACAGGGATGAGTGTTGCAGGCCTGACTGAGTCCTGAGTTTAAGCAATTCTGTATTGCTTGATCTGTAGAATCTGCATAGTAATATCTGTAGTTCAGAAGGTTAATAAGAGGATTCAAATGATGCATGTATGAACAATGGTTAATGCAATAAGTATGTGCTACATAGTAAGGACTCACATGAAGGGAAAGAAAATAAAAACTGAGATTCCACAATAGTAATCTGGAAACATGTAAAGTGAATGCTTTAAAATCCTAACATATGAAATATTTACTAGGAATATACAGAGAGAGCATAAGAGCTCACCTTAGAAGATTCTCAAGAACATGTATTGATTGGTTTTAAATATTTGTTTTCTAAATATTATCTTTAGAAATACTCCACACATTGGTATGAACTCTGTCACAAAGCATGAAGCACAGATATAAAGCAAATCTCAGAAACCTTGCAGAGAAAGTGACAATGTTCTCTTATCAAACAGGAAGGCTCTTCTGGGCTGCCAAACCCCAAGACATTTATGAATAGGTGTTTGTGAATGAGTTCTTTATCTTAATTTCTAGGATGAGAGCTTCAGTAAACAAAGTTAATTATGAAGGTGACCTGCTGTGTGTCATTCATCCAAAGGTGCAGCAGGAATGGATTTTGTAGGTAATGTCATGAGATTTATGTCATATCCTTGACCAATCTCTAGTGTCCTCTTTCTAGAAGCATTAAAAAAATGCAAGACAGATTCTCCTATCATACGTACATCCATAAACTTAAGTAACAGAAAACACATTATTGCAGCAGCATCAGGCACATGAAGCCAGAAATTTTCTCTCCCAGCCCTGTTAAAATGTCGATGCAACCCAATGGATAAACAATGGATTTGAACTTTGCCCTATCCTGTGTCATCTCATCAACTCTGAGAATCTGGAGTCCATTGTTGCACTGTAGAGGGTCTTCCTCTCTTACACTGATCCTCCATCTTTCCAAGCAGGACATCTTTTTCTGAGAACTGGCCCCTCCAAACAACATGCTAAAAGTATGAGAACTGAAGCTTCGTCATCCTCGCTTTTAAGGGGTACCCTGGCTGCACTTTCCCCAGCACCTATTTGTTCTTTTGGCAGTCCATGGGTTATTCAGGACACTCAACCCTCTTCACCAAGAGCAACTCAAAGGCATAAATTCTTCAGGCCTATTCCTCATCCAGCTTTCAGATGCACAGCAAGTAACTAAAAAGACCATGACTTAGATGAGTTGCACCTTAATCTTTATAAACTGTCATCCTTGCACTTTGAAGAGGTCCATGACAGCAGATTTACCCACTGCTTTTGATTTCTTGACTGTTACCATGGATGTTGACTGTAGGTCCAAGTGAGATCAAATTACTGACAACTTCAATCTTTTCTCCTTCTGTCATGATGGTGCCTATTGTGGTTTTCCTTTCCTGCTGTCAAGATGTAAAGTACCTGACTTAAATTTCTAAGAAACTGCTCAGGAGAGCCCTCAGCACTTCAGCTGCCTTCTGATGACTGATGCTAAGGTTTTCCAGGGAACTCACACCCTCTAGGCCGCAGTGCCCTGGAGGATGAGGTGTGTACTGTCACTGTAGTCTCCCATCACAGTCATGTCACAGATGCCACTTATAGGCAGGGGTACAGCTTCCCTCTTTGCCATCCCATCCTCTCTCCCTCACAGATTCACATGCTATCTGTGAGGCAGGTGGCACCCCAGCCTCCGTGGCACCCCAGCCTCTGTTCCTCCACAGAGAGCAAGCATCCATACTCTGGCATGTCCCTCAACACCCTCACAATCTACTGGTTTTCTCCAGGGAAACCCTCTGATTCTTCCTAACCCAATAGAACCCAAAAGTTCTCAGTCACCAGAGCTAAGTAAAAAATATACTGAGAAGTGCTTTCTAACCTCATAGGTAGACCAGTCACTCCCGCACTCAAAAATACAATGCTAATGGTTGGAATTCATGCAAATAATCTCATTTCTTCTTAGCACATAAGGGATATAGGGAGCTCTGGTGGTGTCATCTCTAGGTATATGTACCTCGAACACAAAGGTGGTATTTCTCTGTCAGTTTGTATCCATGGGAGATATATAAGCTATCTCAATCCGTGTGATATAAAGGCTCTGAAATCCTGCTGGAGGGTCAGATGTGAGTAGTTCTGACTCAACGGCAAAGAGTTTTATTATGAAAGTAAAAGAGAAAAAAGAATTCATCAAAAAGGGAAATAAACAAATTTGTAGTAAATATATATACACAGTCTACGTCTTCAGACCAATGTTTTCTGGCATTCACATGTTGTTGTTGTTGTTATGTGCCGTCGAGTCGCCTGCGACTCATAGCGACCCTATGTAGAACAGCCCTAAACTCCGCTCTGTCCTGTGCCAATCAGAGTGTCTCTGACACTCCCATCCCAATTATCCCAGTCACTGAATCAATCCACCACATAGAGGGCCTTCCTCTCCTGCGCTGTCCCTCCACCCT